GAAACAACTAGTATCAGAATTACCCATGCACACATGTACCTTCACCTGACAAAGCTGGAAACAACTAGTATCAGAATTACCCATGCATACATGTACCTTCACCTGACAAAGCTAACTGGTAAAAGATAATTCCAGATTTGTAATCTTACATCAACATATTACTGACACTTACTATAGATTTTGTTTTGTCTGGTCGAGTAGCTATCGGTGGTGGAGCTGCATCATTTTCCTCCTCGTCCACATCATCTGGTGTGGGAGGTGACGAGTTTTCTGGTTTTGAAGGAGGCTGCTGAAACAATTAAAATTCAGGGTATGGATTACAGTGTCATGAATCTTAACCTTCGTGACAACACAAAGACATGTTAAATCAAACACATAGGCAAGTTCAAATCAAAACTCAAACTTAAACTTAAGACTTGTTAAATGAAACACTTAGGCAAGTACAATAAAAACTTAAACTTACACTTAGACTTTTTAAATGAAACACTTAGGCAAGTACAATAAAAACTTAAACTTACACTTAGACTTGTTAAATGAAACACTCAGGCAAGTAAAATAAAAACGTATACTTACACTGAGGAAAGTTAATTCAAAAACTCAAACTTACACTTAGACTTGTTAAATGAAACACTTAGGCTAGTAAAATCTAAATTCTAACTTACAATTTGTCTCGTAAAATCAAACTTCAAAATTATACTTAAACTGTTGAAACAATATAAGATTCATATTCTTAGTACAGGTTAAATAGCACGAATGAATATTTTTTGCAAATTTCCATTCAGCTTGCTAGCACAGCTTTAAGAATTTCCTTAACCCCAGGCCCTGTATTACGATGTTCAACTCAAGCTAACCTGTATTATGATGTTCAACTCAAGCTAACCCTAACCCTAACCCCAGGCCCTGTATTATGATGTTCAACTCAAGCTACCCTGTATTATGATGTTCAACTCAAGCTAACCCTAACCCTAACCCTAACCCCAGGCCCTGTATTATGATGTTCAACTCAAGCTAACCTGTATTAGGATGTTCAACTCAAGCTTTGTTCTCAAACCATCTTGTTACTTGGAAGTTCTTGTGATAGGATCATGATCATTTAACATAGAAATGGTACCTAGCTTCACAATATGGATTGATTTTGTTTAATGTCCTGTTCAGAGCAAAGGTCATTTAAGGATGGGACAAAGCTTCATGGGTTAACTTCAAATGATGTCCGATTCTATAAAAATGTCATACTGATTTGAATTAAGAAATTAGGTTGAGCACATAATCTGAGTTTGAGTGAGAATAGATGGTTATATGACTATGAGTCCAGAAGTATTTCTTTGAAAGCAATTTTATTCCAATGTACTTTTTAACTAATAATGAACAGAAGACATGTACAGGCTGATCATTACCTTCCTTTAATCAGAATAGGGGGTTGATGAGTGACGGTAAACCACTTACCATAGAAACAACAATGTTGAGTTTTTCTGAGAGGGCATTATGCATAGAGTCTGCACCTGAAAACAGTAGGAAAATAAACATCAATATATCTAAAGATCGGAGGCTGGCAGTTTGACAGTACCAGTATGTTCTTATAGATGGTTTTCCCACATCTCATTAGTTATCCAAGTTGTATTGTGTATGTGCTGGATATTATATTATGGGGAACCAATTGTACCACACAGATAGTCATGCTAGAGAGTGTTAATGGGTACCTGAGAGAGGAAATAAGGACATTTTAGATGTGGAACCCGTTCTAGTTTTACAGTTACTGGGTACCTTTATAACAGAGATACTTATAACATCACCAGTTGTTTTAGTTTTACAGTTACTGGGTACTTTATAACAGAGATACTTATAACATCACCAGTTGTTTTAGTTTTACAGTTACTGGGTACTATATAACAGAGATACTTGTAACATCACCAGTTGTTTCAGTAATTGTGTTAACAGTAGACAATATCAGTACAGTATAAATAATCTGTCAGTTTTATTTATACACACATGCATCCCAACATTTTCCCTTAACATAAATCACTACACACAAATGTGTATAATGACACTGACATTCTCTAATCCTATTACACAGTATATTGTATAACACATCTGTTTATATGTGACCAGTCACAACAATGAGTCATCTTCTATAGTGAGGGTGAGCAGGGGAGAGATCACCTTCTCCGTAATGAGGGTGCGCAGGGGAGAGATCACCTTCTCTGTAATGAGGGCTAGTTGTGGAGACTTTTGGAGTTGGGGAGAATCATTGTCTTGTGTACTGAGGTTAAGCAGGGGAGACCTATACATCTTTTGGAGTTGGGGAGAATCATTGTCTTGTGTACTGAGGTTAAGCAGGGGAGACCTATACATCTTTTGGAGTTGGGGAGAATCATTGTCTTGTGTACTGAGGTTAAGCAGGGGAGACCTATACATCTTTTGGAGTTGGGGAGAATCATTGTCTTGTGTACTGAGGTTAAGCAGGGGAGACCTATACATCTTTTGGAGTTGGGGAGAATCATTGTCTTGTGTACTGAGGTTAAGCAGGGGAGACCTATACATCTTTTGGAGTTGGGGAGAATCATTGTCTTGTGTACTGAGGTTAAGCAGGGGAGACCTATACATCTTTTGGAGTTGGGGAGAATCATTGTCTTGTGTACCGAGGTTAAGCAGGGGAGACCTATACATCTTTTAGAGTTGGGGAGAATCATTGTCTTGTGTACTGAGGTTAAGCAGGGGAGACCTATACATCTTTTGGAGTTGGGGGAATCATTGTCTTGTGTACTGAGGTTAAGCAGGGGAGACCTATACATCTTTTGGAGTTGGGGGAATCATTGTCTTGTGTACTGAGGTTAAGCAGGGGAGACCTATACATCTTTTAGAGTTGGGGGAATCATTGTCTTGTGTACTGAGGTTAAGCAGGGGAGACCTATACATCTTTTAGAGTTGGGGGAATCATTGTCTTGTGTACTGAGGTTAAGCAGGGGAGACCTATACATCTTTTAGAGTTGGGGGGAATCATTGTCTTGTGTACCGAGGTTAAGCAGGGGAGACCTATACATCTTTTAGAGTTGGGGGAATCATTGTCTTGTGTACTGAGGTTAAGCAGGGGAGACCTATACATCTTTTAGAGTTGGGGGAATCATTGTCTTGTGTACTGAGGTTAAGCAGGGGAGACCTATACATCTTTTAGAGTTGGGGGAATCATTGTCTTGTGTACTGAGGTTAAGCAGGGGAGACCTATACATCTTTTAGAGTTGGGGGAATCATTGTCTTGTGTACTGAGGTTAAGCAGGGGAGACCTATACATCTTTTAGAGTTGGGGGAATCATTGTCTTGTGTACTGAGGTTAAGCAGGGGAGACCTATACATCTTTTAGAGTTGGGGAGAATCATTGTCTTGTGTACTGAGGTTAAGCAGGGGAGACCTATACATCTTTTAGAGTTGGGGGAATCATTGTCTTGTGTACTGAGGTTAAGCAGGGGAGACCTATACATCTTTGAAAGTTGGGGTCAGTGGGGGAGAAATCATTGCCTTCTGTATTGAGGGGAAGCATTGGAAATATAAACATCTTTGGAGTTTGGGCAAGTGGGCAGAAATAATTTTCTTCTGTATTGAGGGTAAGCAGGGGAGAAATCATTGTTTTCTGTATTGAAGGTGAGCAGGGGAGAAATCACCTTCTCTGTATCGAGGGGGAGCAGGAGAGAAATCATCTTCTCTGTATCAAGGGGGAGCAGAGGAGAAATTGCTTTTTCTGTATTGAGGGAGAGAAATCATCTTCTCTGTATTAAGGGTGAGCAGGGGAGAAATTGTTTTTTCTTTATTGAGGGGGAGCAGAGGAGAAATTGCTTTTTCTGAATTGAGGGTGAGCAGGGGAGAAATCACTTTTTCTGTATTGAGGGGAAAAATTGCTTTTTCTGTATTGAGGGTGAGCAGGGGAGAAATCACCTTCTCTGTAACGAGCTGGAGCAGGGGAGAAATCATTATCTCTGTATCGAGGGGGAGCAGGGGAGAAATTGATTTTTCTGAATTGAGGGTGAGCAGGGGAGAAAACACTTTTTCTGTATTGCGGGAGAGCAGGGGAGAAATTGCAGGGGAGAAATCATCTTCTCTGTATCGAGGGGGAGCAGGGGAGAAATTGCTTTTTCTGTATTGAGGGGGAGCAGGGGAGAAATTGCTTTTTCTGAATTGAGGTTGAGCAGGGAGAAATCGCTTTTTCTGTATTGAGGGGGAGCAGGGGAGAAATTTCCTTTTTCTGTAATGACGGTGAGCAGGGGAGAAATCATCTTCTCTGTATCGAGGGGGAGCAGGGGAGAAATCATTGTCTTCTGTATTGAGGGTGAGTAGGAGAGCAATCACCTTATCATGTAAAGGTAGTGAGGGTGAGAAGGGGAGAGATGTGTCTTTTAATAAGTGTTTGGGAAAATTATTATCTTCTGTGGATGTTGAGACAGATAAACAAGAGCAAACAGGGAACAGCTTATTATCTTTTGGAGTGGGGATGAGTTTTGGTCATCAATGGAGAGATAACTATTGTTAGGAGTGACGGCGAGTGATATCGTTTTCTGTTTGGAGTGGGGATAAGTGGGGGAGAGGTTATTGTCTGCTTCAATGGGTTTGTGTTTATCAGTTTTTGAAGCAGAGGAGAGTGGGGAATCTTTGTGAAATTGTGCATGCAGCATGGGTCAAATACGATCCCCCATAATTTTGTTTACATACTTGGTGGTTTGATGTTGGTCATGTACTTGTGACGTGACTCCTCTGTCTTTGTCGAGGTCTCGTAGTAGTTGAGGACATCCAACACAGCCTGTGGGTTTTTCTTCTGCTCTGTGATGGATATGTTGGAATTGGACAGCAGTTTTGCCCATGATTCAGGCATGCCCTGAAATTACCACCAAATTATAGGTTACAACTCAGGCATGCCCTGAAATTACCACACAATTATAGGTTACAACTCAGGCATGCCCTGAAATTACCACCAAATTAGAGGTTACAACTCAGGCATGCCCTGAAATTACCACCAAATTAGAGGTTACAACTCAGGCATGCCCTGAAATTACCACCAGACTATAGGTTACAACTCAGGCATGCCCTGAAATTACCACCAAATTAGAGGTTACAACTCAGGCATGCCCTGAAATTACCACCAAATTAGAGGTTAAAACTCAGGCATGCCCTGAAATTACCACCAAATTATAGGTTACAACTCAGGCATGCCCTGAAATTCATTATAGGCTACAATTCATTATAGGCTACAAATCATTATAGGTTACAATTCATTATAGGTTACAATTCATTATAGGTTACAATTTATCATAGGTTACAATTCATTATAGGTTACAATTCATTTTAGGTTACAACTCTGTAAGACTTGATTGACATCTTATGCAGCTTTTAATTTCTACAGCATTTATTTGACAGCTTAAAAATGGCTCAAATAAGTGACCTGCACCTATAAATACCCAACTAGTATATGTTTATACAGTATGTGTAAGCTCCAGTCCTTTAACTGGTACTCCCCATCCTTAGTCTCTAACCAGACCTTACAATAATGGCTGGGCCTGGACACTTGCTGGTACTCCCCATCCTTAGTCTCTAACCAGACCTTACAATAATGGCTGGAGCTGGACACTTGCTGGTACTCCCCATCCTTAGTCTCTAACCAGACCTTACAATAATGGCTGGAGCTGGACACTTGCTGGTACTCCCCATCCTTAGTCTCTAACCAGACCTTACAATAATGGCTGGAGCTGGACACTTGCTGGTACTCCCCATCCTTAGTCTCTAACCAGACCTTACAATAATGGCTGGAGCTGGACACTTGCTGGTACTCCCCATCCTTAGTCTCTAACCAGACCTTACAATAATGGCTGGAGCTGGACACTTGCTGGTACTCCCCATCCTTAGTCTCTAACCAGACCTTACAATAATGGCTGGAGCTGGACACTTGCTGGTACTCCCCATCCTTAGTCTCTAACCAGACCTTACAATAATGGCTGGAGCTGGACACTTGCTGGTACTCCCCATCCTTAGTCTCTAACCAGACCTTACAATAATGGCTGGAGCTGGACACTTGCTGGTACTCCCCATCCTTAGTCTCTAACCAGACCTTACAATAATGGCTGGAGCTGGACACTTGCTGGTACTCCCCATCCTTAGTCTCTAACCAGACCTTACAATAATGGCTGGAGCTGGACACTTGCTGGTACTCCCCATCCTTAGTCTCTAACCAGACCTTACAATAATGGCTGGAGCTGGACACTTGCTGGTACTCCCCATCCTTAGTCTCTAACCAGACCTTACAATAATGGCTGGAGCTGGACACTTGCTGGTACTCCCCATCCTTAGTCTCTAACCAGACCTTACAATAATGGCTGGAGCTGGACACTTGCTGGTACTCCCCATCCTTAGTCTCTAACCAGACCTTACAATAATGGCTGGAGCTGGACACTTGCTGGTACTCCCCATCCTTAGTCTCTAACCAGACCTTACAATAATGGCTGGAGCTGGACACTTGCTGGTACTCCCCATCCTTAGTCTCTAACCAGACCTTACAATAATGGCTGGAGCTGGACACTTGCTGGTACTCCCCATCCTTAGTCTCTAACCAGACCTTACAATAATGGCTGGAGCTGGACACTTGCTGGTACTCCCCATCCTTAGTCTCTAACCAGACCTTACAATAATGGCTGGAGCTGGACACTTGCTGGTACTCCCCATCCTTAGTCTCTAACCAGACCTTACAATAATGGCTGGAGCTGGACACTTGCTGGTACTCCCCATCCTTAGTCTCTAACCAGACCTTACAATAATGGCTGGAGCTGGACACTTGCTGGTACTCCCCATCCTTAGTCTCTAACCAGACCTTACAATAATGGCTGGAGCTGGACACTTGCTGGTACTCCCCATCCTTAGTCTCTAACCAGACCTTACAATAATGGCTGGAGCTGGACACTTGCTGGTACTCCCCATCCTTAGTCTCTAACCAGACCTTACAATAATGGCTGGAGCTGGACACTTGCTGGTACTCCCCATCCTTAGTCTCTAACCAGACCTTACAATAATGGCTGGAGCTGGACACTTGATGGTACTCCCCATCCTTAGTCTCTAACCAGACCTTACAATAATGGCTGGAGCTGGACACTTGCTGGTACTCCCCATCCTTAGTCTCTAACCAGACCTTACAATAATGGCTGGAGCTGGACACTTGCTGGTACTCCCCATCCTTAGTCTCTAACCAGACCTTACAATAATGGCTGGAGCTGGACACTTGCTGGTACTCCCCATCCTTAGTCTCTAACCAGACCTTACAATAATGGCTGGAGCTGGACACTTGCTGGTACTCCCCATCCTTAGTCTCTAACCAGACCTTACAATAATGGCTGGAGCTGGACACTTGCTGGTACTCCCCATCCTTAGTCTCTAACCAGACCTTACAATAATGGCTGGAGCTGGACACTTGCTGGTACTCCCCATCCTTAGTCTCTAACCAGACCTTACAATAATGGCTGGAGCTGGACACTTGCTGGTACTCCCCATCCTTAGTCTCTAACCAGACCTTACAATAATGGCTGGAGCTGGACACTTGCTGGTACTCCCCATCCTTAGTCTCTAACCAGACCTTACAATAATGGCTGGAGCTGGACACTTGCTGGTACTCCCCATCCTTAGTCTCTAACCAGACCTTACAATAATGGCTGGGCCTGGACACTTGCTGGTACTCCCCATCCTTAGTCTCTAACCAGACCTTACAATAATGGCTGGAGCTGGACACTTGCTATATTGTTGCATTTACAATAGAATTCCTTTCACACAAAGTTTAAATTCACTGTTTAAGTTCTTAAAAATAAATTTTATTACACAAATTTTATTTTCCACTAGGTTTACTTTGATTTGTTATTGAATTGACAGTCATTTTTTTCTATCTTCATTTCACTTTTAATTGTGAATGTAAAGTGAATGATATTGCTGTTTACTATAGTCTGTCCTACTAATGTAAAGTGAATAATATTGCTGTTTATTATAGTCTGTCCTACTAATGTAAAGTGAATGATATTACTGTTTATTATAGTCTGTCCTTCTAATGTAAAGTGAATGATATTGCTGTTTACTATAGTCTGACCTACTAATGTAAAGTGAATGATATTACTGTTTACTATTGTCTGTCCTACTAATGTAAAGTGAATGATATTACTGTTTATTATAGTCTGTCCTTCTAATGTAAAGTGAATGATATTTCTGTTTACTATAGTCTGTCCTACTAATGTAAAGTGGATAATATTGCTGTTTATTATAGTCTGTCCTACTAATGTAAACTGAATGATATTTCCGTTTACTATAGTCTGTCCTACTAATGTAAAGTGAATGATATTTCCGTTTACTATAGTCTGTCCTACTAATGTAAAGTGGATAATATTGCTGTTTATTATAGTCTGTCCTACTAATGTAAAGTGAATGATATTACTGTTTATTATAGTCTGTCCTTCTAATGTAAAGTGAATGATATTTCTGTTTACTATAGTCTGTCCTTCTAATGTAAAGTGAATGATATTTCTGTTTACTATAGTCTGTCCTTCTAATGTAAAGTGAATGATATTGCTGTTTAATATAGTCTGTCCTACTAATGTAAAGTGAATGATATTTCTGTTTACTATAGTCTGTCCTTCTAATGTAAAGTGAATGATATTGCTGTTTAATATAGTCTGTCCTACTAATGTAAAGTGAATGATATTTCCGTTTACTATAGTCTGTCCTACTAATGTAAAGTGGATAATATTGCTGTTTATTATAGTCTGTCCTACTAATGTAAACTGAATGATATTTCCGTTTACTATAGTCTGTCCTACTAATGTAAAGTGGATAATATTGCTGTTTATTATAGTCTGTCCTACTAATGTAAAGAGAATGATATTTCTGTTTACTATAGTCTGTCCTACTAATGTAAAGTAAATGATATTACTGTTTACTATAGTCTGTCCTACTAATGTAAAGTAAATGATATTACTGTTTACTATAGTCTGTCCTACGAATGTAAAGTGAATGATATTGCTGTTTACTATAGTCTATCCTACTAATGTAAAGTGAATGATATTGCTGTTTACTATAGTCTGTCCTACTAACGTAAAGTGAATGATATTACTGTTTACTATAGTCTGTCCTACGAATGTAAAGTGAATGATATTGCTGTTTACTATAGTCTGTCCTACTAACGTAAAGTGAATGATATTACTGTTTACTATAGTCTGTTCTACTAATGTAAAGTGAATGATATTGCTGTTTACTATAGTCTGTCCTACTAACGTAAAGTGAATGATATTACTGTTTACTATAGTCTGTCCTTCTAATGTAAAGTGAATGATATTGCTGTTTAATATAGTCTGTCCTACTAATGTAAAGTGAATGATATTTCTGTTTACTATTGTCTGTCCTACTAATGTAAAGTGAATAATATTGCTGTTTATTATAGTCTGTCCTACTAATGTAAACTGAATGATATTTCCGTTTACTATAGTCTGTCCTACTAATGTAAAGTGAATGATATTGCTGTTCACTATAGTCTGTCCTACTAACCCACAATGGTGTAGACTTTACATGTACATATAGCCAGCATTGCATTACTTAATCAGCAAAAAATGTTTAACTAAAATTAATTTATTTGAATAGATGTATTGTTGTCTGAAGAAGTCAAAGCCAGCATATATTATGACTGAGTCATTAGGAACATGATGTCAGTCTGCAGTATATTCCACTAACCTTATAATCAAATGATACCTGGAAAGGGCCTTTTATCACACGACATACATATGCATCCTTTATTTATGAGTTCAGTTTGAAGTGGCACATTTCCTGTCCGTGAGTATTAGATCTATAATGTTACTACACAAATATTAGAATTTCTCTGTACTCTCAAGGACGTACCTATATGTAATATCATCCTATTTAAAAGTACTAAATGACATTATAAACCTACTGTAAACTCCCCGGTGTGGGAATCAAAGCCAACATGGACTGTGTGTTCAAAGTTAGAGGGTGGTGAAATCACTGGTTTCTCCATGTCTTTGAGTCTGGCTACCTTACTACCTGTGAACCAATAAAGAGTTGTTAATTCCCTGCTAAAGAAATCGAAAAAAAATCATCATTCTATATATCTGATAGTTTGGTAAATGTGATATGATTTAAAGTAATATTTAAATCGTTGAGAGGGATTTGGAAAACAGAAATACCAACCCTTGTGTCCGCCACTCATCCTGCGTAAAGTACTGGTCAGGGCAGACTGCCATGACCCCTGACCTGAGCCACTTGACCTTGACCCCTGACCAGAACCACTTGACCTTGAACCTTGACTAGAGCCACTTGACCTTGAACCTTGACCAGAGCCACCACTTGATCGCTTCCATGAAGACATTATCAGATTCTAATTGCCTGAGAAAATCTGAAGGGTGTGATGTTTACACTACTGTATTATACAGTCCTGTGTGATTTTGTCCTAACACTCTTTCCACTTAATCCAACAATAACGATCCTCAGTAACAATCCAAAACTGTGTAAAGATTCCAAGACAAAAATGTGTGGAAAAACCTAGCTTCCATACATTATAGAATTATTGAACTACAAAGATGAACTTCTTCAAATCACAATAATATCCTCTCCTGAAAGTTAATGATCATAACCAAATCCTGTCCTTTCTGACATTGATGTGATACAAGTCCAGGGTTCCACAAAGTCAGACCATTGGTCAACCTGCTATGGAGAAAGCCTTTCACATGTATGATTCCGAGGGAGTGTTTTCATCCTCATCTCTATAATGCTTGTATCATTCTTTCCTCATCCCCTTCAACCCTATTACCCATAATTCCAAACAGGATGTCTCATGAATCACACTACATGAGTGTTTCTATAGTAGGTGTACAATTAACGTTCATAAACTTTGACTTCCTGTGAGGCCAGTTGACGAGATGCCCGGCCAAGTACAGACATGGCCGCCCCGCGAAGTACAGACATGGTTGCAGCGATATGGTAACAGGTAAATATTCCTTTTAATTCCTTTTGAACAATGTTTTATAAAATATACAAGGTATATAAAGTATATTCCAACTATGTATAACAAAGACAAGTGTGTGACATCAAGACTTTAGGCAGGAAATAGGGTCACCCAGCTGAGATTTGACGGTTTTCTGAATCTCAACTTCTTGGTACATAATTGGTTGCATCTTATGGTACAAGTATACGTACAACTAGAAACTACAAAATCTTCACAAAAGTAAAAAGTATCCAAACATGACCTGCTGAATGAATTTGCATTTAGCATGAACAAACTAAAATAGGACACACCTCAATACAACACAAGCTTTGTTGTAGGGTGACCGTCCTACTTCAGTATATAACTAACATCTGGTTCATCTCTATGTAACTACATATAGAATCTTTCCCCATTTTGAAGATGACACAAAAAGATCTCAACTTGAAGATACAATTCTTAATTTTTCAACCAAGTCCTCAAAACATTCCAATGAGGATTATAATTCTCTGTCTTACCCCCAAAGTGGCCGGGGATGGATTGTTGTTCTGACACCTCTGAAAAGGAATTCCTTTGAAGAAAAATTACAATGTTTTCTTTGTTAACTGTCCATATTAAATATGATTCAAAACAAAAAGGGAAGTCTGTATGCAGTTTGAAAAATATCTTTCCACATATTCTTGAGAAATTGTGGTAAAATACTTGTCAAAATCCAAGATGGCTGCATTGCTGCAGTCGCAATTTGAATGCCCAACCTGAAAGACGGACAACAGATGGAGTACGATGGACAATGGAACCACAGAAACAGGGCAATATGAAGAGCCCACAATCTGTTGGTGGTGGGCTAAAAAGTATGATATCTATTGGTTCAACATACAATGTATGTATGATCTATTTCTCTTCCTATCCAGTTACAAGGATGGGAAAGAGAATCCCCATAAATCTGTAGGGGGATACATAAAATCTTACTCTTCGGTGTCTTGACCTTCTTCCTCTCCTCTTTGCTGTCTGGCTCCTTTGGGAGGGGCTTGTGTTCCATGTTATGGGTATCTCTGCAATACCAACACAAAATGTATCAAGGTCTGTATAAAAACACACAAAATGTATCAAGTTCTGTATAAAAACACACAAAATGTAACAAGTTCTATATAAAAACACACAAAATGTATCAAGGTCTGTATAAAAACACACAAAATGTATCAAGTTCTATATAAAAACACACAAAATGTATTAAGTTCTGCATAATAACACACAAAATGTATCAAGTTCTGCATAAAAAGACACAAAATGTATCAAGTTCTGTATAAAAACACACAAAATGTAACAAGTTATATATAAAAACACACAAAATGTATCAAGGTCCGTATAAAAACACACAAAATGTATCAAGTTCTATATGAAAACACACAAAATGTAACAAGTTCTGTATAAAAACACACAAAATGTAACAAGTTATATATAAAAACACACAAAATGTATCAAGGTCTGTATAAAAACACACAAAATGTATCAAGTTCTATATGAAAACACACAAAATGTATCAAGTTCCGCATAAAAACACACAAAATGATCAAGTTCTGAATAAAAACACACAAAATGTATCAAGTTCTGTATAAAAACACATAAAATGTATCAAGTTCTGTATAAAAACACACAAAATGAATCAAGTTCTGTATAAAAACACACAAAATGTAACAAGTTCTATATAAAAACGCACAAAATGTATCAAGGTCTGTATAAAAACAAACAAAATGTATCAAGTTCTGTATAAAAACACACAAATGTATCAAGTTCTGAATAAAAACACACAAAATGTATCAAGTTCTGTATAAAAACACACAAATGTATCAAGTTCTGAATAAAAACACACAAAATGTATCAAGTTCTGCATAAAAACACACAAAATGTATCAAGTTCTGTATAAAAACACACAAAATGTATCAAGTTCTATATAAAAACACACAAAATGTATTAAGTTCTGCATAATAACACACAAAATGTATCAAGTTCTGCATAAAAACACACAAAATGAATCAAGTTCTACATAAAAACACACAAAAGGTATCAAGTTCTGCATAAAAACACACAAAATGTATCAAGTTCTGCATAAAAACACACAAATTTACCAAGGTCTGAAGAATAATTAGACAATTTTCAAAATTTGAAGAATAGAATGAAATATTTGACTGCCACAAAGCTTGCAATCATAACCATATTCACTGATATTTGTGTTCCAAAATACCACAAAAACCTTCTGTAGAAAGGATTTGTATTTCTCTATGTGTCAGTGTAATATCCCATCCGCCTGTAGAAAGGATTTGTATTTCTCTGTGTGTCAGTATAATATCCCATCTGCCTGTATTAAGGATTTGTATTTCTCTGTGTCAGCATAATATCCCATCCCCCTGTAGTACGGATTTGTATTTTTCTGTGTCAGCATAATATCCCATCCCCCTGTAGTGTCAGTGTAATATCCCATCCGCCTGTAGAAAGGATTTGTATGTCTCTGTGTGTCAGTATAATATCCCATCTCCCTGTAGTAAGGATTTGAATTTCTCTGTGTGTCAGTATAATCCCCCCTCCCCCTGTAGTAAGGATTTGTTTTTCTCTGTGTGTCAGTATAATATCCCATCTGCCTGTAGAAAGGATTTGTATTTCTCTATGAGTCAGTGTAATATCCCATCCGCCTGTAGAGAGGATTTGTATTTCTCTGTGTGTCCGTATAATATCCCATCTGCCTGTAGAAAGGATTTGTATTTCTCTATGTGTCAGTGTAATATCCCATCCGCCTGTAGAAAGGATTTGTATTTCTCTATGAGTCAGTGTAATATCCCATCCGCCTGTAGAGAGGATTTGTATTTCTCTGTGTGTCAGTATGATATCCCATCTGCCTGTAGAAAGGATTTGTATTTCTCTGTGTGTCCGTATAATATCCCATCTGCCTGTAGAAAGGATTTGTATTTCTCTATGAGTCAGTGTAATATCCCATCCGCCTGTAGAAAGGATTTGTATGTCTCTGTGTGTCAGTATAATATCCAATCTGCCTGTAGTAAGGATTTGTATTTCTCTATATGTCTGTATAATATCCCATCCCCCTGTAGTCAGGATTTGTATTTTTCTGTGTCAGCATAATATCCCATCCCCCTGTAGTACGGATTTGTATTTTTCTGTGTCAGTATAATAACCCATCCGTCTGTAGTAAGGATTTGAATTTCTCTGTGTGTCAGTATAATACCCCCTCCCCCTGTAGGAAGGATTTGTATTTCTCTGTGTCAGTATAATATCTCATCCCATGTAGTAAGGATTTGTATTTCTGTGTGTGTCAGTATAATATCCCATCTGCCTGTATTAAGGATTTGTATTTCTCTGTGTGTCCGTATAATATCCCATCTGCCTGTAGTAAAGATTTGTATTTCTCTATATGGCGGTATAATATCCCATCCCCCTGTAGAAAGGATTTGTATTTCTCTATGAGTCAGTGTAATATCCCATCCGCCTGTAGAAAGGATTTGTATTTCTCTGTGCGTCAGTATAATATCCCATCCCCCTGTAGTAAGGATTAGTATTTCTCTGTGTGTCAGTATAATATCCAATCTGCCTGTAGTAAGGATTTGTATTTTTCTGTGTCAGCATAATATCCCATCCGTCTGTAGTAAGGATTTGAATTTCTCTGTGTGTCAGTATAATACCCCCTCCCCCTGTAGTAAGGATTTGTTTTTCTCTGTGTGTCAGTATAATACCCCATCTGCCTGTAGTAAGGATTTGTATTTTTCTGTGTCAGCATAATATCCCATCCGTCTGTAGTAAGGATTTGTCTTTCTCTGTGTCAGTATAATATCCCATCCGTCTGTAGTAAGGATTTGAATTTCTCTGTGTGTCAGTATAATCCCCCCTCCCCCTGTAGTAAGGATTTGTTTTTCTCTGTGTGTCAGTATAATATCCAATCTGCCTGTAGTAAGGATTTGTATTTTTCTGTGTCAGCATAATATCCCATCCGTCTGTAGTAAAGATTTGTATTTCTCTATATGGCGGTATAATATCCCATCCCCATGTAGTAAGGATTTGTATTTCTCTGTATGTCAGTATAATATCCCATCCCCCTGTAGTACGGATTTGTATTTTTCTGTGTCAGCATAATATCCCATCCGTCTGTAGTAAAGATTTGTATTTCTCTATGTGTCAGTATAATATCCCATCTCCCTGTAGTAAGGATTTGAATTTCTCTGTGTGTCAGTATAATACCCCCTCCCCCTGTAGGAAGGATTTGTATTTCTCTGTGTCAGCATAATATCCCATCCGTCTGTAGTAAGGATTTGTATTTCTCTATATGTCGGTATAATATCCCATCCCCCTGTAGTAAGGATTTGTATTTTTCTGTGTCAGTATAATATCCCATCCGTCTGTAGTAAGGATTTGTATTTCTCTGTGTGTCAGTATAATATCCCATCCCCCTGTAGTAAGGACTTGTATTTCTCTATGTGTCAGTATAATATCCCATCCCCTGTAGTAATAAGGATTTGTATTTCCCTCCTTCTTACTGTTAGCAGATGATAACTGATGTCAAGCGAAAAATAATGGCACTAATTTTTATTTATAACACAAAACAACATTACAACATTATTATTGTTTTCTGGTATATACCATATAGACTGATCACTCAGACAATAGGATACAACATGTAAATGTGATATTTCTGGTACACTTACAGTGTACATACAATCTGTATATATATACATACATCATTTCCTGTGTGTATATATGTATATATTATACAATTAGTGTACTAGTGATCCTCCAGCCAACAGGAACACACACTAAACCACAATACTAGTAACACCAGATAATATCTCTAACACACTAAACCACAATACTAGTAACACCAGATAATATCTCTAACTTCTGTGAATCTTACAGAAAGCAGGTAGTGATACAGAATTGCGTGTAAATGTTTATAACATAAAACACCTTTCTTTTGAAAAAGAACATAACAGACCTGCAGCAAGTCTATGGTCAGCAAGTCTAGGGTCAGCAAGTCTAGGGTCAGCAAGTCTAGGGTCAGCAAGTCTAGGGTCAGCAAGTCTAGGGTCAGCAAGTCTAGGGTCAGCAAGTCTAGGGTCAGCAAGTCTATGGTCAGCAAGTCTAGGGTCAGCAAGTCTAGGGTCAGCAAGTCTAGGGTCAGCAAGTCTATGGTCAGCAAGTCTAGGGTCAGCAAGTCTAGGGTCAGCAAGTCTAGGGTCAGCAAGTCTATGGTCAGCAAGTCTAGGGTCAGCAAGTCTAGGGTCAGCAAGTCTAGGGTCAGCAAGTCTATGGTCAGCAAGTCTAGGGTCAGCAAGTCTAGGGTCAGCAAGTCTAGGGTCAGCAAGTCTATGGTCAGCAAGTCTAGGGTCAGCAAGTCTAGGGTCAACAAGTCTAGGGTCAGCAAGTCTAGGGTCAGCAAGTCTAGGGTCAGCAAGTCTAGGGTCAGCAAGTCTAGGGTCAGCAAGTCTAGGGTCAGCAAGTCTAGGGTCAGCAAGTCTAGGGTCAGCAAGTCTAGGGTCAGCAAGTCTAGGGTCAGCAAGTCTAGGGTCAGCAAGTCTAGGGTCAACAAGTCTAGGGTTAGCAAGTCTAGGGTCAGCAAGTCTATGGTCAGCAAGTCTATGGTCAGCAAGTCTAGGGTCAGCAAGTCTAGGGTCAGCAAGTATATGGTCAGCAAGTCTAGGGTCAGCAAGTCTAGGGTCAACAAGTCTAGGGTTAGCAAGTCTAGGGTCAGCAAGTCTACGGTCAGCAAGTCTATGGTCAGCAAGTCTAGGGTCAGCAAGTCTAGGGTCAACAAGTCTAGGGTCATCAAGTCTAGGGTTAGCAAGTCTATGGGCAGCAAGTCTAGGGTCAGCCAGTCTAGGGTCAGCAAGTCTACGGTCAGCAATTCTATGGTCAGCAAGTCTAGGGTTAGCAAGTCTATGGTCAGCAAGTCTAGGGTTAGCAAGTCTATGGTCAGCAAGTCTATGGTCAGAAAGTCTATGGTCAGCAAGTCTATAGTGTCAAAGTCCTGTTTTCAGATATTCATTTTAATTTT